CTAATGATATGAGTGTAATGTAGTTATTAATTGTTCTGAGAATAATAACCACTTTATATTACTTCACAGTTTCATAAGTCACGTGGAAAGTATTGAAAATAAGTATCACTACATAGTATAAAACAAAGTCGCTATCAGCCGTCTGTCTGTCCCTATGTATGCTTAGATCTTTAAAACTACGTAACGGATTTGATTTGATGCGGTTTTTAAGTGATTTTTAAGAAAGGTTTATATGTATAATACATGTATATTGAATCCGTGCGAAGCCGGGGCGGGTCGCCAGTAAGTAATATAGACTGCTTTGTTGGTAGAGTGAGCGCATTGTGTGATTATCGAGCTGCTCGATTTAATTCTCGAATCAGACAAAGAAACATGGACGTTTTAGGTTCTTTGAAAATTCTTAGTAATAGCACAGAATTGCGCCTCCTAGTATGTTCAGGTTCGCCCCATATCACACGGGACCCATGACATTACTTATAAAAAGTGGATGTTATATTGTCAATGTGGACTTCTATCCACTCCTTTAAGGATTAAAAGGTTTAACTACTTGTCTATTACTAACTAGTAACGGAAATATTTAGTTACCAACAATCATCTTGCAGTGATCATTATGGATGTAACGGTAACATAATAAATTAACAAACGAATGCACAAGCTGTAAACAGATCGTGACGTGTAAATAAAGATCACCACTCAAAACCTTGACCACATCGCTATTACTAAACCAAATCAGATGATCTTTGATGTGAACCGCTCTAATTCGATACTCCATAACGGATTAATTACTTGTTTAAAACAAACTATCGATAATAGCTGAATGTTAGCGGTTACATCACTAACCTTGTAGTGTTGTGTCGGATGACAATGCCGGCGTTATTATCGATAAAACTTTCACGTTGTGATGACATGCATTGTGTTTGTGCATAGGAAGTTGTGCGGTTTGTATGTGCGTAACATCGTGGCTGTTTTTATAAGGTGTGGGAGGTAGAGATAGTGTGAACATGCACAGATTCTAAGTTTGAGTTTAAAGTATATCATCGTGGTAAATCTATGTTTCAATGTTTCCTATGGTGTTAACTGCCAATAAAAAACTATTGAAGGTACATCCTTCGCTAACTTTGATCACTGGTCAACCTCATGGCATTTATTGTCTTAAAATAAAATAAAAAACTGCCTCGGTGGCCGAGTGGTCGCAAGTGCGACTGCCGGGCAAGGTGTCTCGGGTTCGATTCCCGGGTCGGGCGAAGTATTGCTGGGTTTTAAAAAATTCTGAGTAGTAGCACGGAGTCTGGAATTGCGCCCGGTATATGGCAATAGGCTCACCCCATTACATGGGACTCATAACATAAATAGTGAAACGTGTGTGTTACATTGTACAGTGGCACGACGTGCAGCTCTGCCTACCCCTTCGGGGATAAAAGGCGTGATGTTATGTTATGTAAATAAAATAATTTTTGTAGTGAAAATGAAAATGTATATTTTAGAGGAATTTTGAAAGTTGCACCAATTATAGAGAAATTCAAAGATTAGACTTTCTCGAGACAACATAAGAAAAATCATGGTCACCTTCTTTGTTTCTTTGTCAAAAGGAAAAATATCTCCGATCATAATAATAATAATTTCACAATACAAATACTGATAATTCAACTGTCACCACTTTTTTAGTTACGATATCGATTTCATTAAGATCGAATGCGATTTGTTAACGCGATTCAATCGAGTGATTTGTTTTTGGTATTTGTGCTGTCTCAGCTCGTAACTTACAGAAATATTTAAAAAGATATCGAATTGATATTATCTTTCTGGCAGGTTTGTAAAACGAGGTATGAAGTACAGCTGTCTTTTAATGAAATCTCAACTTTACTTGTTTGAATTAGAGTTCAAATTTCATTGTGAGGATAAGATACTTTGATGTGCTAGCGCCTACAGAGTGAGACCGGATCTAATTTATGTTTCATTCATCTATTATTCAATCGATTAAATGAAATACTTGTTGAAATACAAATTACGATTGTTTGTTGAAAATAAAAGAGAATCGTTATAACGAAGTTAAGGGACATAAATGGGCATTAGGTTAATTTTTTTGCATGAAAACGTAGGATATAATATTACATTATATCGGGTCAAAGGTGTGTTTAAAAACATAATAGAAAGAAAATAAAGAAAGAAAAATAATTTATTCGACAGCAGGCACGCACACAGATACAAAACAATACAAAATTAAAAAAGAAAAGAGCAAATAAATACACTTATTTATATATGTAGATATAGAAATAGATATAGAAAAAAAACACAAAGAAACGACAATGTATAACAACACAGTGACAATAGAATACTAACATAGAATAATATGCACATACCTTTTTTACCCAGATCCCGAACAATAATTTGTTAATGTTTAATAATATTATAGTAAGAATCGACTCAACGATATAGTTCGTAGCAGCCAATCTTGACTCTACCTTAACTAATTATGGAAGACATCATAATTGTGTGCACCATTCGATAATCTCAGTACACTTTCATAATATTATTATTATGGAGCTATGTTACTTCCACAACCTAAGTCATAAGTTCCTATCTATCATCAAGGACAATATACAATTCTAGGTTAGTATTTCTATCTTCCGGTTTATATGTTTATGCTCTTAATGCATATAACCTTTTAAATCCAACGTGAATGCATTATAAATAATAACTGAACTTTTATTACTCATGTACGCGAGTTAAAATAAACGACATTAACACTTTAGTAATGTCTGCACGATTTTGAACTATGTACATAAATGAATAGGTTTTTTTTTGAGTTTTCTAGAGGCTTTGTCCCTTATTCATGTTCAGTATTTCAGTATGCAATCCACTAAACCGTGTGATGACGAATGCGTAGTATACAAATATAAATGTACCTATTAGTCCACCACCCCTAGCGTCTCTTCTCGAGGGTATCGTCAAAGCTGACTAAGGGATTGCACATGTAACAGACACCGAGCATTGACGCGCTTTGATAAACCTAAATCCTTTAAACTGCTGTCCACGACCCGCTTACCAAGAGTAGAATAGAGATGATGGTAAACCCGCTTATACCATGGTGTGTCTAAACGTGGATCCACGTGAGACACAATGTATTTTCTATTGTATCTTATATATGGGCATTCAAGCGGTTAATTCAATGTTGGTTAATGTAGACATAACATAACATCACGCCTTTTATCCCAGAAGGCGTAGGCAGAGTTTCACATTATGCCACTGTACAATGTAACACACACGTTTCAGTATTTATGTTATGAGTCCCATGTAATAGGGGGTGAGCCTATTGCCTTATACCGGGCACAATTCTAGACACCGTGCTACTACTGAGATTTTTTTTTTAAAAACCCATTAATACTTTGCCTGACCCGAGAATCAAACCCGAGACCTCTTACCCGGCAGTAACACTTAAGACCACTCGGCCAACGAGGCAACGCAGCAGGTTAATGTAGAAGAGGATTTTTTATGTGCTTCTAGAATCTTTGACCTTCAAAATAAAGTTCATTTTTCAATATTGTATGCAATCTACATTCGTAAATATTCTTCTACAATTGCAGATGACTCCTACAAACTACTTTCAATATATATATTACTGTTATGTCAAGGATAACTTGTGGACCGTTTATTCGTATGTAATTGCTATATACCTAGGCATTAAATGTTATTGAAATTCCAATATTTGGCTAAAATATTTTACAATTTTTATCAGTTACTTTATCCAACCGGGGGTTTAACCTGAAACCTCTTGTTTGGTAATCGCATTAACAATCAAATGACCAACGAGTATTTAATATTTAATAGTAGGTACATATTTAATTGATATTTCTGTCGACCTTTGCACTTTTACAATAAGCTGTACCTACCTTAAGTCCAAATAAGTTTGGATATCAAATTATTATTAGGCTAAAAATAAATAAACCAGCCAAGTACTAGTATGGAAGGTTGTCTGGACAGGATGCCGGATATCTTACATACAGGTTATTTTTAAGCAAAATTAATTGAATGATCTCACAATTTTTCTGATAATAAGGGGTCATAATTTATTATGTCATTGGAAACAGACATTCTCAGAACTTTTGGTTACTGCGTAAACGGTGAAATATATCTGAATTCATTATCATTAACAGCCTGTGACAGTACGATAAAGAGGTTCTCCATAATCTCCACAGTTGGCAGATGGTTAGGAGTTTAAAAGGTTTGGGTTAATCAGTGCGTTGCAAATAAACCGGTAAACGAGCAGACGGATCACCTGATGGTAAGCAATCGGCACCGCTTATGGTCACCCGAAACACCAGAGGTGTGGTGTTTTAAGTGCGATACTGACCTTTTGGGGATTGGAAATTTGAGGATTGTGGGGGATTCGGGAATTGGAGTGACTGGGTAGGGGGGTAACTGGGTCTCCGGTAACCTCACTAACACGACGAAACACGTTTGACTTTATTTACGTTACGTTACGTTACGTTTTCTGTGAGGCCGTGGTATCGCTCCGATCGGGCCGGCCCATTCGTGCCGGAGCATGGCTGTCCCACACTTAATCTTAGCCTCTATTAAATATAATCGCTTACCCATTTGATACCCATAAGAAGAGTACGGGAAGTTCAAGTGTATTTGATGCCTAATTAAATAAAAATATCAAAGAAGATTGTTCTATAGAAAGTAAGAAGGTTGTAACATTGTCGGTATGTGTGAATGCAACGTTATCCAGACATCGACAACAATGCGACACACACGTAATTAGACTAATTAGAGAAACCACTCACACTAGGAAATAAAGCATTAATTGTACACAATGTAAATACTTTACCGACATGTGTTACAAGGTAAATAATTAAGACATTAAAGAAGAAATTAAATAATGAGATGTTCATGGAAAAATTACAAACTCAACATTACCTGTCAAAGATCGATCAAGTTATTTTTATTGGAATTAATAGATACCTTTTTAAAATGTATTTAATTGTGTGGTGTGGTTAATGGCATAATGGCGGAGTTTAAACAAATATATATCTAAATAAATATCTGTATCTATCAATGATAAAGTGCGTAAATTCTTCACAGAGTTTCAGGACTTTTTTTAAGGGGGGAAAATCATCGAATTACTACGGCCTGGGTGAGGCGGGAGGGAGTGTCAGACTCTTACTGACTAAAACCACCCCGTTCCTTCTCCTGCGCTTCGAGCTGGAGCCCCGATAACCCGTTAGGTTCTCCACGACGAGTTTCAGGACGTACACCTAAAATAAACTCAATGCTGTTAGGGAAAACCAACATTTGGCCACATTGGACTTTACCGTTCATGGTCAAGGTTGAATATTAAATGATAACTATTCAATTCAGTTGAGTGACAATGTCACGTATATTAAGTTTAAATTAATAATATTTATCAATTAATCAATCAAGGAACTTGTACGAGGACGGAGGTTAGGATACACACTGTTCTTTTTATGTCCTACGTAGAGGCGTATCGTATCTAGCTTTACCGATACTTTTTGAAAATACTTATTTAAGGATAGCTTAAAATAAATGCTTTGATATATATACAGTACGTATTAGTAAGTGTTGGGAATACCAAAAATTAAACGACCTTCAACCCTTTAAGAAAAGAGCGTATTCCTTTTTAAAAGGCCGGCAACGCACTTGTGACTCCTCTGGTGTTCCAGGTGTCCAAGGGCGGCGCTGATCGCTTACCATCAGGTGACCCGTCTGCTCGTTTGCCTCCTATTCCATAAAATTATCACAACTTTCGGTGTTATTTGATCAAAGATTAGGCGTATTATCCACTTTCGATTTTTATCAGATTCCCTTTCGATACGTCAAGAGAGTCGTGATCGTGATAGGTCCCTTAGTGTATTGGCATTTTACACATGTTAAGTTGATTAGTTACATCATGATCCCTTCGGCATTCTTTCGACATTTATTTAGCCCTTTTACGGTTCATCAATAATTTTCTTACGTTACTTGATCTTTATTGGTGGAAACTGAATCTGTAATCAATTTGGAATGAAAAGTAACCAATCAAAATGCCACAATATTCTAGCGTACTTACCGTCCACATATGTCAAGTATTTCACGGCATTTTTCTACATCGAAAGCCTATCGTACCGTTGGATTAGTTTCTATAGCTGACTACGTAACACTTGATTAATCACGTCAAGTCAGTGACCCGTGCTAATCTTTAAGAACACTTTGATCTGTTGAGAAATAAGGACAAACGGCAACCGGATTATTTTTTATCGCAGCCGAGCGTGTGCGATGTCGCACTCCCGACTTTTTGTCGCTCGTGTGAATGTGGCCTGTCGCAATATACGGAGGAAAGGTTTGGCAATCTGCGCTGAATATTATAGATGCGTGCATCGCTTTTTCGTAGGAGTGATGGGTTTTAGAATCGTGATCTAGACGTGATCGTTATCCGTGATGACGCACGATATGCATACAATCTAATATTGTGTATAGGTGAATTTGGTAAAACTTAGGTTCAATGTGTAGACTAATAAGTAAGGTTCATTATCGTCTGTTAAAAAAGAAATTAACATATTAATAAGACTAGCTTCTGCCAGCGGTTTCGTCAGCGTTCCAGTGGGATAAAAAGTAACCTATGTTTTATTCTAGACATCTATACCTGTTCCAAATTTCATCTTGATTGGTTTAGCCGTTTTGACATGATTGAGTAACAAACATACACACAAACACAAACACACAAAATTTCACATTTGTAATATTAGTAAGATAAGATAGTAAGATTGATGGACTTAAAGTAAAATGCAAACCACTGACATTCAGTCGAATCTAGTAACACTAAGTGCCATCCCTAACCTCGTTAGAAAAAGGTGAGCAGAAAGAAGAATATCACTAGATAGTCCATTCTTATGACCTACATACATTAGAATAATGCCAACCCGCATTGAGCAAGCGTGGTGATTAATGCTCAAACCTTCTCCGTGTTAGAAGAGGGTTTTGCTCAGCAGTGGGTACTTATAGGCTGTGGATGATGATGATGACATCAGAATATTAAACCCCAAAACCTTTTCACGGGCATACTGGACTACAGCTTTCTTTACTATTGATTTATTTTGTTATGAGTATTTTGTTATGTATGTTTTAGTAATTAATTTGATTAATTGCTTATTGTTGTCTGATTGGAGTCTTGTTAGTCCGCGAGTCACTTAAGGGGCCAGTAGAATACCAGCGCAAGGCTCTGTCTTGCACATGCTGAACTGGTCCCATTTCACCGCAGACTTGGGTCATTAGAATTTATGAACTGTATGTGTTTTATCTGTATGTGTCACCTGTTTTAGTGTATGAAATAAAGTATTTTTTTCTTTTTTTCACATAAGAGGACTCGCCATAATTTCGCCACTTGGCTAATGAGTTGGAAATTGCAGTTCAAAACATTCAGATTTCTCTGAGAACATTGTCCAGTCTCTGCCAAATTACTTCCCTATACGGCTCTGATGACTTGCATGGCAACAGCAGGGTAGAGACTAATATATTCAAGGTTGTCGTCCTCAGATTAATATAATTGTCAGTAACCAAAAATATTTCATAACCGACTTCAAAATCAAAAAAGGAGACTCAATTTGACCTGTGTGTATGTATATGTGTGCGCCATTATCTCACGATTTGCTGAACTGATTTTGAAGCAATTTTCAGAAGTATTTGTTATCTTAGGAGAAGGATTTAGTATACCAATTGACCGACTTCAAAAACAGAAGGGTTTGAAGTCGGTTTTTCTAAACGTAGTTTATGAAATGGTTACTCTGCACACAAAATTAAGTATTTCATCACAAATTAATGAGTGTGCACATAAATAGAGTTACTTAATAAGAAGCCATTGTAATTAGCTACAACAGAGTCCCACGGCTGTGTGAATGTTTGCTCAGTTTTAGGACAGCTATTGTTGATGAGATCGCTGTTATGATTCCAAAGCGTGATGGTGCTGAACAAAAGTGTTAATTAATGATTATTTAGACTGATATTCTAAGACGTAGGTGATTTTATGACTAAGTAAAGTAAAGATAAACACTGGGAATTTGATTGTGTTAATGTTTCTAGTCTTTTGTTGACTGTGATATTATTGAGTGTATTGTTGGTTTTTCTGTCTAGATATTAGGCAATTGCATATTTGGTTTGTGGCTGCATATGTTTATGTATGTCTTGGAACTATGGAGTTGCAAGTTGAACAATAGCTTGATTGTTTATATCTGTGGCTGATATTTTTTATTATCGAATAAACCGGTGTACGAACAGACGGATCACCTGATGGTAAACAATCGACATCGCCCATGGGTACATGGAACACCAGAGGCGTTACGAGTGCGTTACCGGCTTCCTGAGGATAATGAATTTGAGGATTGTTGGGGATTCAGGGATTGGGAAGATTGGGGAAGGGGGGAGGGTAATTGGGCCTCTGGTAACCTCACTCTAACGACGAAATACAACACAAGCGTTATTTCACGTCGGTTTTCAATAAGGCCGTGGTATCACACCGGTCGAGCCGGCCCATTCGTGCCGAGGCATGGCTCTCCTACACTTGGGCCTCTGCCTCAATTTTGCGGGCAGCGGGGTGACGGTGGCGGCGGCGCGGGAGTGGCAGGATCTTATGCGTAAAATCAAATGGACTGGTTCTCGAAAACATAGCGGCGTTGCGGCGGGCAACGAGCGGTGCACTCTAGTCAAGCAGAGCGAACCGCGCCGCCGCCGCCTCCGCACCGCTACCCGCAAAATTCGAGGCAGAGGCCTTAAAATGATGATACATATGAAGAGTATCACAGTAGACGGATTTTCAGCGAAAGCTAATTAAAATATTGGGTTAAACAAGGGTCAGTCAACTACCCGTTACGCAAAAAGCGCTTAGCCTTACTAACACCATTAACTCCTTAGGGTATTTGGCCATGATTGGTTACATTATAACTTGGTACGTACTTATCTACCTTAGTTTAGTTACAACTTTATATTATAAGTAGGTATTTATGTATGTATTGTGAAATACATATGTCAGTACCTAAATTACATACATCAAGAAGTGTCAGTATGTATATGTAGTGATGGCATATGATTGCAACGCGTGTAAACGGTATGTTTCGAGTGTTTCGCTCGGAGCGACATGCATCATACATACGGCGCCTACAGTTTCAACAAATTAAGTGTTTCTAGGTATGTAGGTATCCGGAGGTTATACGCCGGGGTCGTGCGGTCCATGGCCCTCTACGGCGCCCCTGTTTGGGCGCCAAACTTGTTGCGGCGTCCTGCTCGGACGCTGCTCAAGTCACAGAGGGTCATGGCGATCCGAATGATCCGCGGATACCGCACGATCGCTGGGGAGTCGGCAAACCTCCTTGCCGGATTACCGCCGTGGGATCTGGAGGCGAAGGTGCTCGCGCGCGTGTATAACATGCGCGCGGAGGCACGTCGCCGGGGCGAAACTCCGCTGCCGCGCCAGATAAGTGCGTGGCGGGATGAGCTCCGGCGCGATCTCATGGCGGAATGGCAGCAACGACTGTCGCAACCGAGGGCTGGGCTCGCTGCCATTGCAGCGGTAAGTCCCCTCTTTGAGGAGTGGCTTGAGAGACGCTACGGCGTCCTCACCTACCGCCTGACGCAGGTCCTCACCGGACACGGAAGTTTCGGGAGGTACCTGTGTCTGATGGGGCGGGAGGAAACGCCCGGGTGTCATCACTGCGAGGACCGCCCTGAGGACACGGTGGAACACACCGTAGCGGAATGCCCTGCGTGGGCTGAGCACCGCCGTGCCCTCAGGGAAGTGATCGGCGATGGCGACCTCTCGCGTCCGGGCCTAGTGCAGGCCATGATGCGGAGCGAGGGGGACTGGGATGCCGTCTCCTCCTTTTGCGAAGCAGTCATGCTAGCTAAGGAGGAGGCGGGACGCGTGAGGCAGCGAAGCGCTGCCTCCTCGCAACCCAGCCATCGCGAAGGACACACCGGGCGTCGGGGATCGCGGGACGATCTCCGGCCACCGTAAGCGCGGGCCTGCGGACGGCGAGCATGGGTGGCTCCCCGTCCGACCAGAAACAGACCCGAGCGTACGGCGCGTCGCGTTCCGCGCGCGCCTCAAAGAGCCATCA